GGGAAGCATATGGGCTTCCCCAGTCCAGGCCTGGGGCCCCTCTTTCTGCCTCCTCTACCAGACCTGGAGCTTCTTTCCGTGTCCCTGGCCTGGGCTCCTCTCTCTGTCTGTTCTGCTCCCATGCTTAGGACACCTTGTTATTATTTACTAGTATTGAAGTAGCACATACAGGGCCCCGGTCAGGATCAGGCCCCCATTGTGATAGGTGCTGCACAAATACAGAGTAAAAGATGATCCCTGTCCCAGAATTCTTACTGTCTAATAAAGACAAGACACCACAAGTGGATGTAACAAACAATCACAAGGTATGGGGAAGGGGGGATGAGGGAAAAGGTAATGACTGCTCTGTTCTTTCCATCTTCTCTCTCTCTCTCCAACCAGGCATGGGTGTCTTTTGCTGCATCAATCACTCTTCTTTCAGGCTCATCAATTCTTCTCACTCAGATTTGTGGTCTGTCAAGAGACACAACACAGAAGGTGAAGTCCAGGAGGAGTGGGGTGGAAAGATGGTTTAATACCACCTTGTGCCGCCTGGATTCTGAGCTGCTCTGGGGGCCAGTGGGGCCCCATTGTAAATCCGAGCAGCCCCAGAGGCAGCACAGAATGCTTTGACCACTCCCCATTCCCATGCCCAACATGCCCCCATACTGGGACTGCAGGAGGACACTGTGGAGTAAAATGTACGTTGGTGCTACACTGTTCCTGCACTTTGAGAATTCCTCTGGGCTACTGTGGCTCCTTCATGCCACCAGAGCAATTTAAAGAAGTTGTATTTAGGTTAAAAATCTTGTCCAGCGTCAGCCGAAGTGCCTGAGAAATGCTGGTTAAGGACTGACGACCAGTGTTGCAGAGACAGCAGCTCCTGAGTAATGGAAGAAGGGAGGGTAAGTGAGGGGCAAGCAAGCAAAAGACTGAAGCAGAAGAGAGAACACCCTGACTCAGTGGATATTAATTTAAAGAAGCTAAATGTAACACAGGTAATTTTGACAGCATTGGCTTAATGAGGCTGCTAGACCCTGATGCCTACTATGCTAGTGAGGTCTGTTGGGTGATTGTGATTCTCCAGAATAAAAGAATAGTGGGTAATTTTTAGACCTTAAATATCCTTTGCACAGATGAAAACTCATAATTAGCACTATGGAAAAATATTCCCTAGAGAGAGAGAGAGAGACTGGGAAAAGGGACAGACTGCAGACTCCAGCTTCCCTTTTTTATTGCCCACGGCTGGATCCAGACTTCAAATATTGTTACTAATCTTGGCTAATTATCCAAAGATTAAATTTTTCAGTGTCTTTTGCAGGAATTTCCATACAGACCGAAAACAAGTAGGGGAAAATGTGGACTGCTAAGGGAACAAGGAAACATGACTAGTTACATTCCCAGATAGTTCTATAAATAAACAGAAAGAGGAAGTAAAACATTACATCTGTGGGAAGAATTATAAAGCACACATTGTCTTTCCAATAAGTATCGTTTCGTACCTAGTACATACCTGTATCACATTGTGAGAAATCTGCCTGTCAGCATTTCTAACATGCTCATCACTTTACAAACTGGACACTAACATTTTGAAAAGTAGCCACTGATTTGGGGTAACTTATTTTTAGGGTATCTAACATGCTTGGGTCTGATTTTCAAAAGTGCTAAGCACCCACCATTCCATTGGAATGTAATGGGATCTGTTGGTGATTTTCAGCACCCCTGAAAGTCAGGCCCAATATCTCTCAAGCTGGGTCCATTAGAACTGAGGTGCACAATCAGAGTCCTTGTTTGAAAAATTTGGCCAGTTGTTATATATAATATGTGATTTATCTAAAATTAATAAACTAATTATCAGATTGGAAATGTCTTTTCTGCTAATTAAAATTAGTAGTGTAGTGTTATGGATAGAATTATTCTCCAGAGAAAATTCTTTTTGTGTGATTGCCAATTGATGCAGGATGCTAACAGAAGTTTACCAAACAGATTCCTGAGCAGTTAACTCCTGGAAGAACCTTAGACAGACAAAGAGACTCCAAATTATCCCCAGCCCGTTTTTCAGATTTTTGGGTACAGAAGAATGCAGAGAGAATGTCAAAGTTGTGCAGTGAATGTCATGACCTGTTTCCGATTTTGGAACAAGTGTAACTGTTTGTACCTTCAAGAATTGAATGGATACAAATACAGAAGTGGGATCTGATCTCATTGATGGGCATGGTGCAGGAAGTGTTTCTTTTGTCCTGAAGGATGAAATCTGCTGTGTAGAAATGCTTGTTTCCATTTGCAGAATACATCCTCACAAAATTTGCTCTCCTTTTTTCATTTACTGGAATATGGACACGTGGAGTTCTCTGTCTGGAGTAAAGGGCTTGTGGTTTTATCCCTTAGCGCATTTAACACCACTCTGCAATATTTAGGTCATTAAACTTTCATGTCTATTTTTTTCTTGGGAAATTCAGTCACCTGTTCATCTCAGCTGCCAGAAATAACAGGCTGCCGCTTGGGATTTTAGCTTTGCAGAAATCAGAGTATCTCTGGAGTCCTGCACTAAACTAATTAGCTAGTAGAGTTTTCTGGACACATAATAAGCTATTGATGAACAAACCAACAGTCTGAACTGCTCCAGGAAAATCTTATGCTCTGAATGGAAAAAAAAAATACTAAAAATGCTAATTAAATGGAAGTCTGCAGTATTGTAGCAGTAACTACTGTGAAATCCTTCCCTTTGTAATAGCGACATCACTATTGCACAGCCACAAAAAGTTGTCTTTTTTGGAGAGGATTATTTAAAGTGTAAATTTGCAGGGCTTTAGAAGTGATTTTCTAATAACGATACTAATTACTGCATACCAGTAAAAATGCCTACCCAAAAATAGTGATTTTTATTTTGTGTGCAACGAATGGGAGAAAACAAAGGGGAAAGTATTAAATTGTTAATTATAAGGCTGTATTTTTATATAACTTATTTCCTTCGTGTGAAAAAGGAGTTGCTTATAGGGAAAAGACCCACCGAATCTAATAGAATATGGCAACCTTTCTATAGTGTTTTGGACCATCCTATAGAATATAGTAGAGAATTATACCCCTAATGTAGATTCCTATAGGAAGATTAATAAAAAAAAGTGTAAAAAGGAGATCATTCTCTTTCATTTTATAGGTTTTGAAATAATTTCTATGTAACCCTGTTCAATCTCTATGGAACCTTATTGAATTGTATAGGACTTTTCCGTAAGGGTGCTGTAGCTGTTTCAGTGGGTAACAGATGGCTCTGTAAATAAACATCTCTCTCTTCCACTGATAGTTACTTGAATAAATTAAAGCTTCACTGAATCTTTGTGTAATAGAAGGTTTGAGTTCTGGTCTGTCCTTGAAATTAAATTGTGTTGTGTGGCTGGATCCTGGTGCAAAGTCCCAGGCCCCTCCTTTCTTGGGCCCAGGTGCTTCTATCCAACTTAGGTCACATAGGAACTCAACTCCTCCTTGCACTTTAGCATGGGCAGTTATTACTATCGACCTGAAAACCAATGCGGGATCATCCTCTTGTACCTGTTGTATGAGTGCGAGAGAAGCCAGGACTATGCTTGTTGTATTTATGCTCCATGGTTCGTGTTCCCATTCAGTGGAAGCTGGTGACATTTTCAACTGGGCAGGCAAAATTGACACCTACTGGCACCTTCAGAACTAAATTACACTAAATGAGTTAGAGCGCTGACTATACTGGACTCAAAACAGGGGAGGCAAAATCCACTCCAGCAAGCCTGCATTAGTCTCATGTGTCTCCCAAAGTCTAGACTTCCCACTCAGCACTACCACTTTTGTTTTTTACAACGAATTGAGCAACCACCCAAGTGTGCCTCTCACACCATGCTCCACACTTATCCGCTGAGTGAGCAGAACCAATTGAACCACAAGGGTCCGGGCACCTTTCTGAGCAGACAGACTGAGCTGTGTTGTGTTTAAAGTTGGATTTCCCTTGTCAGGACGATTACAAGTGGTGTTGTGATCAGAATGTGACTTTGTGGCAGGCTGTAGAAGCATAAACGATGACTGATACTGCTGAGATAATGTGGAATGGAGACTTAAAACCCGCCACAGCTGCAGAATAATGGGAAGCTTAGTGAAAAGGGAGGTAATCCCATAAAGGGATAAATCTGATTACACTCCACGTGCTGCACAAGCCCTTGTCCCAAAGGAATTCCAGTTTCACCAGGGCTTCTACTAGCCACTAAAGTCTCATGTAAGGTATAGGAATGAAAAGGTGAACGCCTTACACATGCACCTGGGACTGCTTTTGCATGTCAGCCCCTGACACCAGATGACTACTTATGGAGATCAAAAACCTGGTTCTCTATTATCTGTCGCCTCCTGCTGTCGGTTACACCTGTGCAAAGACAGTGTAAAAGACTACCCAGTTAGAGTGGTAGTGTTCTTCACACAGTTTGCACTCTCTTGCACTGATGTAAATGATGACACAAGGTACAAGGCTGTCGAAAGTTGGGCCCAAGAGTATCAGGACCATATACCAAAGTGAAATTGGCCCATTATAAAATCCAGTCATTTCCTTAACAATTAGTGTAATTAACTGAAAATTACACTGGTTATTTTAACTGTCAACTAAGCTATATTTATTTATTTTTTAAATATCCGAAAGTCAGTAATTTTTGGTTTTTAACATTTTAGGAGTGAATTAATGCTGGGAATAAAAGTGAGGGACTGGCAGTGGTTGCTTTGAACCAGATATACTGCAGGCAGGTTCAGTGCAAGCTTCCTTCTAAGTTGCGCTGATGCCTCTCAATCCTGACCTGCAGTTCTTCCTGCTGTTCCAGTTCCGGCTTGTACCGAGTTACTCCAGACAGAACTTTGGTTTTGTTTTGTGAACCAGTGTCATGTAGGTGGTGGGATGAAACCCATTTGTGCTTGTGATCTAAGCGAACATACGGTTGAGTGAAAGGTGAGAATTGTGCAACTACCCCCTAAAACAACACTGACTTGCAATATTTTGTTTTCTTTTCTGTTTACAGCAGCAACTACAGGCGTACGTGGCCTGGGTGAATTCCCAGCTGAAGAAGAAGCCAGCAATAAAGCCAGTGCAGGACCTAAGGCAGGATCTCCGAGATGGGGTCATCCTGGCCACTCTCATTGAACTTGTAGGTCAGTAACACCAAGTGGCACTATTGCTCCTGTAGGGGCTGTGGGGCGTTGCATGGAGGAAGCGCATCTTGGTGAGGCCCTGCTAGCGGAATGCTTGGACCTGTGTGAGGCTGGCCAGCAGGCACCGCAGTATCAGAGCAGGGTGGTCGTTTTAAGAGAAAGGAAGATTGTGGCTCATAAAAGCCAATCTTCCACTGAAGTCCTTATGTGTTAGCTCAGTATCACTTGCTAACCTTTGGCTAGTGGCCGAGTTCCAGGCCCTTTGAGAACTGCATTCACTTTGTCACCTGACACATGCCAAAACCTGCGAGCGTGGCCACGATAACTGCCACAAGAGGAGCTGAGGTGTTTTAAGGGAGCCATTTTGATTTCCCATATTGATGAATGGTATTAGGGACCCAGAGGGGTATATGGGCTAAGGTGGGGCTAATATGTGGCTTCTTAACTTCATTTGGGTATGTATGTGTGACCTGAGCCCCGTAGTTCTGTATCTCTGCCTAACGCTGACAGCCCTGCCTGGAGTTTACTTGTCTGTGTTAATGGATGGGATTCCCGTAGGTCGGAGTTAATCTCTTTACTAAGACACAAATATTTACAAGAAAGAAATAATAGGACTGAGCAGAAATGGTTCTAGAAGCTGATGCTGTCCCTTGCTGAGACTATGCCATGCAGTGCAGGGTATCTGCACACAAAGGACATGTGCTGACTCAAGAAAATACAAGGAATAATGAATTACCCACAAAAAGCATCTTCACATTCAGTGCTACCGGTTTGTTTTGCTATTAGACACCTCATGAGCAGGGAGAAGTCACACATATGGCTCCCTTACTCATCCCAACATAACAGCTGCTGAATCCTATATTCCTTGCACCTGTAACCGTTCCAGTGCCAGTCAGTACCAAGCAGGTTCATTACTCTCTATAATTAGGCTGTTTGATTTTCCCAGCTGGTGAGAAGCTGAATGGCATTCAGGTCAGTCCCACCAGCCAGCAGGAAATGAGAGAAAATGTAGAGAAAGTCCTGCAGTTCGTGGCATCGAAAAAGATTCGTATGCACCAAACTTCAGCGAAAGGTAAGGGCTCCCTGATGACAGTGTCACCATGATCCTTAGCTAGCTATGTGAGAACTGGATCCTTTGTTGTTTTGTGTCCTACAGATAATTTATTTCCAAGACGGAAATTTCTCTTGTTGCTACAATCCAGTAATATGTTTAGTTTTTGCTTGAACGGCACTAAATTCTTGGTTGCTTTGGTAACAGTAGCAAACAGGAGAAGCGAGCAGTCCAGGGTAAGAAATAAATAATAGTATTAAGAAGAAGAAGAAATGTCCCCTCTCCTCTGAGTGGTCAGAGGACCAAACAAATGGTATAATTGAGAACACAGACTTGGAAACCTTAATTGAATGGACATAAATAAATTGTTATTGGGCTGTTGCCTTCTGTGGTGGGAACAAGACCATTCCAGACCACTGGAAATCAGTAGTATTGTTTCCCATGCTTTGCAAACTCTGTTTGCCAGCATTTCCTGTCATAAGAGGAACAGAACATGTGGTGGGAAAGAGACACAAGGAGCAAAAACATGCACTTTCTGCCTCTTACTGTGGCATCATTTAGTCACAGAGAGCACATGGATGGAGGAAAACAGTCCCCTATTCTTGCTGGTTGCTGAGTGTCCTGTTTGCTCCTCCTGGGGCACTGGGTGAGGTGCAGTGCCCAATGACTCAAACTGGAATCATGGAGCACATGACCTTTCCTGTTGTTATCAGGAAGAGAAGAGCACAGCCCTGGGGTTACAAGCCTCAGCTGGGTAGCCTTTGTGTATTCAGAGTACACAGTAAGTGCTCCATGCCAGCAGCATGGCTACCAGCAGCCTGGAGGCTGTGCTATTTTTCCCCATTCAGTGAGGCATTATATGTCAGTTCGCACCATTTCACTGACTCTATAAGCTGTTGTTAATACAGATAAAACCTTCTCTATACGCCCTGTAAACAAATATATCATTAGGCCCAGCCCAGGCAGCTCTCTCTCGAGGCCGCTTAACTCAGTGATCTGAATTTGCTTTCTTAGTTTCTTGTATCTAGGTTGGTAGCAGGGAAGTAAAATATGAGCATCCAGAGTTTGGTAGAGCACAAATGAGAGCAGAGTAAGCTCTAAAGGTTGAAACCCAGGGCTGGTGCTCTGCATCCCTTCTGGTTTTCCTAGAAAAAATGTCACATGCCATGTCTGGCCTGTTCTAGTCTCCTTTGGCCATTCTCGGTGACAGGACTTTGTTGAGCTTTGTGTAAGGGCTCTGAGGTTGGACATGTTATGAAGTGATCAGAGAAATGTAGGGCTGGAAGGGACCTCAAGAGGTCATTTAGTCCATTCCCCCAGAGTGAAGCAGGATTAATGTATCAAAGCTACTGCGCAGAGTGAGGTGTGGGCACAGGACTCTGGGACACAGAAACCCCTGAGTTCTAATCATAGTTCTGACACTGACTCGCTCTGTGACTTTGGGCAAGTCATTTCCCCTCTCTGCCTGAGTCTCTGTGAGTGACATGGATTAATTATGATCTACACCTCTACCTCGATATAACGCTGTCCTCGGGAGCCAAAAAATCTTACCGCGTTATAGGTGAAACCGCGTTATATTGAACTTGCTTTGATCCACCGGAGTGCGTAGTCCTGCCCCCCCGGAGCACTGCTTTACCACGTTATATCCGAATTTGTGTTATATCGGGTCGCGTTATATCGAGGTAGCGGTGTATTTTAACAATGTTTATTTTGGTCCCATCCCACCCTCCAAAAGTAAAAATTAACCAGACTTCAGGCATCCAGTCCTTCCCCAAAAGTCTGGGGCTGGAATTTTCAAAGCTGCCTATGGGATTTGGATGCCCAGTTCCCATTACATTTAATGGCTACTGCACGTCTAAATCCCTTGGGTGGCTTTGAAAAACACCCCCCCCCCCAAAAAAAAAAAAGAAAAGAAAAGAAAAAAAGAATGGATGGTCTTTGGAGTAAGCCCTGAAGGTCATCAAATTTGCGCTGTTTTGTACACTGAGGGAAAGTGCATGGTGATGAGGATTGATTAGTTAATGATTACTAGACGTTGTTGTTGCAGAATTCCATTCTTGCTCAGCTCCCTCCTCTTTCCTATTAAAAATGTTAATGCAAGTTCCATGGGCCAGTTGGAGTCATCACTGGTACAGTGATCTTCAGTGACAGTGACACCTTTGTAGTGATCCTTCAGTAACACTGTCACACATAGGCTGGACTATTTGTTGAAAATAATCCTATACCAGGGATAGGCAACCTATGGCACGCGTGCCAAAGGCGGCACGTGAGCTGATTTTCAGTGGCACTCATGCTGCCCGGGTCCTGGCCACCAGTCCGGGGGGCTCTGCATTTTAATTTAATTTTAAATGAAGCTTCTTAAACATTTTAAAAACCTTATTTACTTTACATACAACAATAGTTTAGTTATATATTATAGACTTATAGAAAGAGACCTTCTAAAAACGTTAAAATCTATTACTGGCACGCGAAACCTTAAATTAGAGTGAATAAATGAAGACTCGGCACACCACTTCTGAAAGGTTGCCGACCCCTGTCCCATACAGAAGTCCCAAATGTGCCCAGAGCAGTAAAAATTCTGTCCTATAGGTGGCAGTCACTGATTTTACTTCAGGCTGCTTCATACAAAACAACTAGTATGGAGCACTGGAATGATAACTCAGTCCTAATTGTTCAGTCCCTTTCTTTTGGAATGCTCCTGTTGAGTTTAATTACATTCACACGTGTTGGTCACACAAGAACCCTGCTGAGCCCCATTGACCTGAGGTTTGATTGCATTTTGCAGATATCGTTGATGGGAACCTGAAATCCATCATGAGGCTGATCCTTGCCTTAGCTGCTCATTTTAAACCTGGCTCGGGTAGAACAGCCATTCAAAGCCCAGCCAGCATGGTGGGGAAGAGCCTTTCAGCATCATCAGCCAGTCACAGGCCTCATTCAGCGGCTGCCATGGCCCAGGGTGCCGTGGCTGCTCTGGCAGATGTTCGTCAGGATGTCTCACGCTCAGGACGTGATGTTTTCCGGCACAGACAGAGGTACTGGGTGCTCCCATCTAGTCTCATTGGAATGAGTGTGAATCTTGGTGCTAAGTCTTAGTCCTCGGGGGCAGGTAAAGGGGACATCTCCCTATAGGACAGATAAAGAGGTCTCTGCCTCTCTGCTATGAATTCATACATTGCTTGTTGACCTGAACCCAGGCCACCTTTTGCTGTAATCTCATTGGAGCTCACAAACAATCCAGAGTAAGACTGAGTTAGCACCTGGATGGGATACCTCTAAGGCTATGTCTTCACTGGCAAAAAGGTGTGTTTTTACCATGGGATAACTAACGTGCGTGTAAAAACAGTGGAGGTAAGGCACTGTAGTTTTACCATAAGGTAAACCAGGTGAGGCCAGCCACAGACAGGTGGTATAGTGCTGACCTTGCCTAGCCACCTTGCAGTATACATGACCGTGCCTTGCCTTCACCTAGGATTGTACAGCACGATAACTAGCACACATTTATTATCTCGCTTTAAAAGAAAACAAAACACCTTTGTGTCACTGAAGAGAAAGCCTAAGAGCTCTATTACATCCTTCCCTTTGCATCAGTACTGAGCACAATGCCGCTGCATGGCAAAAGGAGGTGCTGTGGCTTATGGAGGTACTGTCTTTCACGTGAGACATAAAACTAAGGCACTGACCGTTTGTGGAATTTAGAGATCCTGGGTGCACTTTTTGTAAGAGTCAGGGTGCTAACCCTGGTGTCCAATTCCATCATGCCTCCCTAAATTCCTCTTGCCTTCTCGTATTATGCCAAGCCGTGGAAATTGTTGTAGTGTTGCTGAGTGCTGTTTATCAGCTGCAGTGTCCTACAATGCTATAGGGTTTGGCGTTTTATTATTCTTCCAAAGGACATGGGCAAGTGTTCCTCTTCAGGACGGCCAGCCCTTGTCGTATTAGCAGAAGCTAGCCTTTTCCCCACTCCCTGCTTCCCTCCCTCTCCAAAGCTCTGCTGCTACTCATAGGAGTTTGGAGGCATTTAACAGGTAACATACTGTTCCCCTCCCCTGCCATATCACAGGTAGATGGGAAAGGGTTTCCTGTCTCACACTTTCTAGATCAGAAATTAGATTTTCTCATTCGTAAGAGGCCCGGAGGATTGCTGCCTCCGCCTCCTTTCCTTTATTTCATTAGCCCCCGTTCTCCCCTTCCCCTCCCCCAAGAATGTCTATCATTAGGTTCAGACAATAAATTTAAAAAAAAAACCAAAAGGATTTCTGCCCCTGCTCTGTGAGGCTGTTATTCATTATGTCATTTTTATCTTCAGAAACAGCAGCGTCGATGAAGAAATTGAGAATCCCTACTGGAGTGTCCGAGCACTGGTGCAGCAGTATGAGGGACAGCAGAGCGTGCCCTCAGAGTCTTGCTCCTCCAGGTAACAGACATGCCCATTGCAGAGCTGTGTCCCATCACAGCCTGGCAGAGTCCATCTCCTGCCCACCCCACATCTGGCCGCCTCGCAGCCCAGCCCCCTGCCTACCCTATGGATGTGCTCCCCTCACACACAGCCCAGTCTCTGACTAGTTTTAGGAATAAGGAAAATTTCACGCACTGAGATTTCCCAGCTGAGCTGGAACGTGAAACACCAGCTCTCAGTGAGTGACATTTCATTGACTCCCTTGATCTTGCAGACTCTCCCACAGAGAAGGTTCGTCTCATCCATGAGACAGTGTGGCGAGGTGGTGTGAGCACAAGGCTAGGAGGTGGGAACTCCTCAGCTGTAATTCTGGCTCTCACCCTAATCCTGGCTCTTTGGCCTCCCCCAGTGAGAACAGAGCGAATAGGAGTAGGAAACACCAAAGCAGAGGGTTTGCTGCGAGATTGAGAGAAACTGAGAGGATGAATCACAATGGTTCCTTCGGGGCTTGGAATCTATGACTCTATGAATGAGACTGAGGTTATCACTACAATACAGTTTGCATTGGAGTTATGATGCTTAGGGGTTTGAATAAGTCACCCTCCAAGCTACGTAAATTATGCTGACCTAAGTGCCGGCATAGACAGTGCTATGTCAGTGGAAGAGCTTCTCTCGCCAACATAGCTACCATTTCTCGCGGAGGCTGGAGTAATTAAGTTGACAGGAGAGCTCGCTCCCCTCGGCATAGATACCCCAGGGTATTTTGGGGGCAGGCCCAGCCCTTGTGCTGTGTCAGGGTTGGGTGTAGCCTCACCATTGAGTCCATGTCCCAGGGCAGGGGAGGGGCTGCAGGGTGATCTCCCACCTTCATGCAGCCAGTGGCCTGGGCTCCCACTGCCATGCTGGAGCCTCCGTATTTCTTTATTGACAAATAAAACTTGCAGAATTTTAAAATATTATGCGCAGAATTTTTTATTTTTTGGTGCAGAATTCCCTCAGGAGCAATCTGTGTAAGAGGCATGAAGGAGAAATGAGCTGAGACTTCCAAACCAAGCAAGCCTGATGCCTGCACCCAGACCTCAGGGGCAGGGGAAGTAGGGATTTTAGCAGCAGGCTCAGTTTCAGGAATGCGTTATTTTGGGATTCAGACCCAGAGTCTCTGAAGTGGGTGCCGCAGCTGTTCCCACTGCCGTTGTGCCCTCATCCATCACCTTTAACTGCTTTTAGCTTTATAGTTATTTCATTATCCAGCCATCCCCCAACTCCCCTGGACCTTCATGTTCAATCAAGTTCAGTGTTTAATTGATTTCTGAAAAGTCCCCTGTAACCTGCTATAGAGCATTAAAGTCAGAGTTTACCCCCATCTACACAGCAGGAATTTTTGCCATGTAAAGCGGGACTTGAGAAATACACCCTCTCTGCTATACCTGCAGCCTTGGCTGGGGACTCGCTAGATCTCACTAGCTAAGCAAAGTTGAGCTGAGGCAACACTTGACTGGGAGATCTCTAAGGAAAGGGGTTTTGCAGGAAGTGGTATTGGTTAGAACTACAACATGTTTTACCTGGGGCTGAACACACGTGAAGGCTGAAGTGGGTGCCACTCACAGCAGTGAGCCTCAGCAGCAAGTGCTGGGAGAACACATTCCTTTGGTTCTTCACATGCTCCACTGACTCCCAGTTGCTCCAGAGCAGATGTCAAAGCCCTAGTCCTAGTCTATGGAGCCCTTAATAGAATGGGACCTGGCTGTGTCAGAGACCCACACATCCATAGGCCAGGACCTTCTATGGCAACTACACTGCACAGAAACTAGGTAGCCAGTGAGGAGCTGGGGGTAGAACCTTGCCACTGGTAGGAGAGATCTGACCAAGCCTGGCTGTGTTTAGGTCAGAGTATAGGGATATACATTTTGGACAGAGTCTTTCCCCACTAATAAGGCTTGAAAGTAAAGATATATCTCTTTGAACATGTAAATTCCCTCTTCTCCCCCTAAGCTTGAGTCTCTGCTCATTTTGAGCTCCATTTGAATGTGGTGGAGGAGGGGACTGCAAGGAACTTGTTTAGCTCCTTGCTTCACAGCTGTCTGGCCCCAGTGCAAGTCAGGGGTGCACACGGGCAGCCCTGACTTACACCACTGATGTAAGGTGAGTCAGGGACCTTATGCCAGTGGAGGATTGGGCATCGTGGAGCTCCACTCCATTACATCCCCTTCTTTCCTGTCCTATCCATGCCCCGCCCTTGAACACATAGAACAAGTTCTATTTGTGGCACTGCTGGAGGATACCCTTTATGTTGGGGTTTGGGGGGATGGCTGACACATGAGGTGATGGATTTTCTTCTGCCAGATCTCCACCAGCAGAGAGTATCCCTGGTACAGGGAGATTTCTCCGCCGCACTTCTCTGGCCACTTTAAGGCTACTTTGCACCTCCATAGCACAAAATGGCCTACCTGCCCCACACAAAGTGGCCTTAGCATGCCTGAGAATCCAGCCCCTTGGGACCCAGGTGAAGAGTGAGAAGAAACACGATGGTTCTGGACCCTTTTGCTTCTTCAGAATTTTGATGGTTAGATGCCCACATGACATGTGCCGTATAAATATCTAAGATAGATCAGTTTGGTATGGGGTGGTTTTTCTCTCTGAGTCAATACTGACTCACTTCCCCAGTGCGGTGCTAGAGGATATTGTGCTGCTGGAGGTGCTACTTATCAGATGAGAAATAAAACCATGGTCCTGACCACATGCGCTTGTTAAAGATTTCACAGTATTTTTCACAAGAGTTGAAGAGTGTTGACCCCTTCTATTCGGGGCAGATACCAGTTTAGGTAAATACATTTCACCTTTTTCCATTCTCTCTGTAGTTTGAATTGGCAACAGTATTTTTCACATCATGTCCTATTGTGTAGCATTGTTGTGCACTGCTAAATAGCTGTGGAATGCCCCACAGTGGCTGCATTTCCATGAGGAGTGAAATAATACCTGTATGTATACTTTGCAAAGTGCTTTGGGTTTTTTCATAGTGCAAGGAGTTCACCAAGTGTAAGATGATATTTATTATCATTGCTGACAGGAAGTGATGTCACTGAGTAGCTTGCATATTATATAAAATCAGCAAATATTTTCCTGAACACCTATATGATCAGAAGAGGGAATTTTACAGAATTGAAGATAAAAACATAAAATTAATTGTGCTGCTTTTGAACTAAAATCATTGCTTTGTTAATAAAATGTTTGTCTGGAACTTTTGAAATTATGTTGGAGTAGAACAGGGGTAGGCAACCTATGGCACGCGTGCCGAAGGCGGCACGCGAGCTGATTTTCAGTGGCATTCACACTGCCCGGGTCCTGGCCACCGGTCCGGGGGGCTCTGCATTTTAAAAACCTTATTTACTTTACATACAATAGTTTAGTTATATATTATAGACTTCTAGAAAGAGACCTTCTAAAAACGTTAACATGTATGACTGGCATGCGAAACCTTAAATCAGAGTGAATAAATGAAGACTCGGCACACCACTTCTGAAAGGTTGCCAACCCCTGGAGTAGAATAACAGGGGGTGCTGTGGATCAGTACTGAAGTGCATGAGCTGATCTCCTTGGGGGCCCATGGTTGGAATGGCAGGGGGTGCTGTGGATCAGGTTTGGGGTGCATTGGCTGGTCTATTTTGGGGGACCAGGGCTGGAATGGCAGGGGATGCTGTGGATAAAATTTGAGCTGCATCAGCTGATGGGGGGGGGGCAGGGCTGGAATAGTAGAGGGTATATCAGGTCAGCATTGAGTGCCAATGGCACAGTCTGTACCTTCAAAAGTAAGACTTTTCACATTGGTTACTGTCTTTAATAATCACTTTTCTCTGGTTGAGTTAAAGATCTCTAAAGTGCCCAGGGCTCTTTTGGGTTCGGTTTTCTCTGCCTTGCTCCCTACACAGCTGTGCATATGAATCAGTGGTAGAGGGAGCCCAAAGAGTTTACAGGTTACCTGCTGTGTATATTTCCTAGAGTTCTACTAATCCTGCACTACTGAGATGCAGACAGAGCTACTGACAACTCAACAGGAAATTATCAGAGATTGTATCAAGCTGGAGCTAAAACACTTTTTAATTGAAGCTGGGAATATGCTCTGATGTATCATTAGATTTCAATCATAACGTCTTGAGAATGGAATATTCTTTGTCCATTACTGTGGATTTGTTCCCTGGCTTTGTACATACAAAGATGTTGGACAGAGACTGTGCTATGTGCATCAGCAGTGAGAAACAAAAGACAGGCTGAGAGGGAGTTAGGGGGCAGGGTTCTGTCAGTGTTTGTCAAAGGGCAAAACCACATAGCTTTTGAGGGCTGCAAAGGAGAGCAAACATGGAAATGCTATTGAGTTTTGCATGCAAGACCCCGCTGGGGAACGGATCCAGGCTGCCAGGCTGAGGGCTGTTTTGTGTATCCTCCAGCAGTGCCAGAAATAGAACTTGTTTTATGTGTTCAAGGGGGGGAGCAGATTATGGCTATTGTAGAAAAGGGTATCTGATGCCGCTAGCCAAAGGCACAGCGATTGCTGACACAGAGGTTGGCTGTTTAATTGCAACAGTAACTGCCAAGTGAGGAAAGATTTATTCATATCAAGCCCCATCAGAAATTGGGAGGATGTTGTTCCTGTGATAAGACACCAGGCAGAGGGTGGTGCCTGAGGAGAGAAAAATTGACAGTAGCCAAACTCGGTATGTTTCATTTAGAATCGCAGATCTATGAGAAAAGGGTGTTAGATAATAGGCATGGTGCAGACTTAGCTATATGTGAATGTTCAGGAGGAAGTTTCATGTTGGCCTGGTATTGTTGCTAATTTATGAATCACCTCAAGAGATACTAATATTCTGTTACTGGAGCTTGGGGCCCTACTGTGATGGGTCTTGACTCTTATGACCGAGTTCTGCCTTTTCTGATTCTCCCAGTTCCTGCATCCCACCTGAGGTAGGGGGCAGGTCCTCTGCTCTGCTCCTTCACCCAGTAAGCTACCTCCATGAGGGATT